CATTTTTTTTTTAGCGAATCTTTGGTGATACCTATATGTAAATTTAATTTAAAATTGATGTTCATTACAAATTTAAATGTGAATGATGCTAATGGCCGGTAATTTTTGTTAGCAAAGAAACAACACGTGATTGGCCGTTTTTATTATGACTCCGTCCACGCATTGCTTCGTACTTGTGATCTTGCCATTAAGGCTACAACAACCAGTTGTTTTCGTTGTTTTTAACGCAAATAACTGGTAGCTGGTGTCTAAGACAGAAATGAAAAAAAATCTTACTGAGAACTGTTTTTAACTTTTAAAACACTCAATAACGCAGACAGGTGGTTTGTGTTCACAAGCAGCACAAACCTACCGTGTTTTTTCGCCGTACGTTTTTGTTTTGGTGTTTTTTGTTTTCTTTTTTGTTTTTTTTTTTTTTTTTTTTTTGATTGCACAAACTCTGCCGGATTTGGTTGAATGCTTCTAAATAATTCTGTGTTTCACCAACCATTTCTTAGGTGTTTTATGTTATTTGGTAGTTGGTAACAAAGAAAACATTTCACAAATTTATCACTGAGTTTATTCGTAGTGTTACTTTTAGTGTGAAAACAATGTTAAGACTAAGGTGGCTATTATAAAATTAGCGTTTGAATCAGATTTTTTAATTGATGTCTGGCAGTCAACGTGCTAAAAAATAAAATAAAGATAAGTTTATATATAAAAAAAGTGGAGACCGCAGTCCACTTTTATATTATATATATTCAAGTGGTAACAGTCTGTTTCATGCGTGAACACGATCATCAGATCATGTCTATTGCGTGTAAAAATATTTCGTCAAAACCTCCGACACTATTACATAAATTGAAACTTCCTGAAGACATTTTTTCTGCTTGATATCGCCTGAAGACAACTATCCCCTAAATAGACAGAGAAGGTCACAATTTGGGTTAAGGAGAAAATTCAAAATTCATTTATATATTTATAAATTATATCAGTCATAGGTAAACTTTTACTCTTTCTGAATGTCTGAATTTCATAAGGAAATACCCGCTTAAAATATTGTTTTCTTCCGTTCTCACTTGTTTACTCACACGTATACATAACCAATGGTTATGTACAAACCGTTAACCACGCTGTCATCAGTGATAATAATATACCAAGACTTCAATTTTTTGGATTGTAGAAAAATCTTTTCTCCAAAGTAAACTATCAACTCCCCCATTTCTAAGAGGAACGCATACAGTTTTCTGTAGTAAAAATTACCTTCAATATTTTCAGTAGTGTGGCCCACTTAATGATGAATCATACATCATAGGGTCCACTGCACCAAAAAGATTGCCCATCCCTGATTTATATTTTAAGTATTTATATTTGCATGTATATTAAGTGTTTTTAATGTTGATAATTGAGACGAATATTCCAGTCGATACACACGAAGAAACTCTGCCAGATGTCCTCGCAACTGACAAGTTTCAAAGCCGTTTTTATAGTAGCACATCTCGTTGACGAACTCATTTTTGAGGGGGATTGTGAACATCATCATCTTGGATAATGGTGCACACTCTCGCTTCTTCACATTGAAACCATGATGGTTGGTAGTGGCCAAAGAGGTTGAAGAATTTATTATTTTGCATATTCCTATAATGTTGACATATTAACCTTAAAAAAGCGAGAATTCCATAGTTAATCTTCCTATTGTGACACCATTTAACAGGACAAAAAAAAAAAGAAAAGAAAGGAAAAAGAGAAAGGAAAGAAAGGAAAAGAGAGGCGAGACTTAAGCGTAGATGATAAAAAAAACACCCACGACCAGGGGCCTTGACAATGTTATTTTGATAAGTAGCAAATGGCGAAAAGGTGTCATTACCATTGCAGAAAAATTCTAAGTGGATAAGGGAATCGACTATGTTCTGGCGACGAACTTGTGTTATCGATGATAGATAACAGCCGCTTAATGCTGGCAAACATCTAATTAGCAAACCACAGACCGACTAGCTAAGAGAACTCCAATTGATAATGTTATTTTGATAATTGACAAAGAACAGGTGAAATACAGGGCTTTGGATAGATAAGAAAAATTAACTGTGTCGTCTGCTAAACCGCACACGAAACCAACCCTGAGTAACGACAGACCGTTTTTTGACAAGACATCTATAGGTGTTGGAGTTCGGTTGTGATAACAAAACTATGTTATCAGAAATTGGCACCAAGAATGACTAGAACAATGGAACTGTTTTTTCGAGACGACGGTCGACTGTGTTTTGCTGGACGACCACCCATTCTGATAATTAGCGAAAATCTGACTGACGAAGTCCAGATGAGAATAGAGGTTATCACACTACTGGTCGCATTGTTCTGTTGGCGGCCAGAGAAGATGAGGGCTGCGATTAAGGAAAGAAAAGGAAAAGAAAAAGATAATTTTTTTTGAGCAAGATATATTTTTTTTCTTCCTGAAACAAAGCCAGCTGGATCGCACACGCCCGGCTGGATATCATTGGCCGGAGGTGATCACGTGAAGCAAGGAGGGAAGCCGCCGCCGCCCATTTAGAGGATGGGTATGAGAGGTTGCTACGAAGAAGTGGGGAGGACCG